GTGTGTGTGTGTGTATATATATATATATATATATATATATATATAAAGTTATTGACTGTATTTATATGTATATAGGTTTTGTATGCATTTAGGTTATTGAAACTACAGGAATTATGTAATTTAATAATTTGAATTATTTGTAATTATGTTTATTGAATTACACACCTAGTTTCAAAAAAAAAAAAAGATTTGTTACCGTGGAAGTACCAAGAATTTCTTAAGAAGGCCCTCAAATATTTCAAATATTGTCTTAGATTTTGGGGGGGCTTAAAGTCAAAAAAGTTGAGAACCTCTGTGCTAGACATTAGAGTGAGCAAGTAAGTATATATGCTGCCAGTAATGTAAATATGCCACTGATGTTCTGAAAACTATTGTGGAAACGGTCTCACCTCAAGCAAATGGAAGCCCTGTTTGGTGGCAGCCAGAAGTCCAGTGAGTTTGAGGGTGAAAGAAATTATAGCAGGATCTGTAGTTTTAGATGTACAAACACTAGAAATAAACTCCAAGAGACACGGCTGATGCTGCAAAAGCACCTGTCCATTACCTGAAGAAACAGAATAGTAACATAATCACTACAAGTACTACAATACATACAATATATCACTCTACCAACTCTTCTCAACTAGTCAAAAATTTATCCATTTGATTGCAGGTCACTCACTTTGGATATGCAGCTCTTTGAACCAATCAAGCAGCTTCTCTAAAGAGGTGTCATCAGGTGGAGACTGCTGTGGGTCGGCCAGGACCAGGCAGACCGCTGGTAGCAAAGATAAGCAGTCACTGTCCATGATATCATAGTCCCTGGATCACCAGCACATGTCGGATCTCCACAGAGGACAAGAAGGTTTAATGTAGTGCTCGGTCAAATCAAACTGGAAGTGGCAACAATAAAATATCAAATATATAAGTTACCTTGACAGATGAGTACGCAAGTATGGAGAAATGATTCAAACGTTTGTCAAACCTTTTCAAGAGTTTGCAACTGTAGGGGTACAACAAGACACTCAAAATCAAATGTAAAAACATCTACACTCTCAACGTAACTATAATGAGGAAAAAACACCTTTTCATTTATCACATTTAAAGCAGCTTGATATCAAAGTTGGCTGCACTTACTGTACTGTCGCTCCGTACGGTGTGCTGGGAAGGACATAAAAAACGACATCCTGAGCGATGACGCGTCTAGCTTTAATTGCGCAAATTCGGCGCACTTTAATGTCCTTCAATAGCGTAACCGCCTCTCACTCACTCGCATGGTTACAGCGGACGCTTTGAAAGTTCCTAGCTGCGGCTGCGCAGTCAGGAGGCAGCCAGCATCAACATTATCTGACGCATTTCTATTGGTTGTGTAAGTAAAAACAGACAGACTGCGTTGAGACTCAGCGATTCCAGTTCGTCAAATGCAACATACGGTAAATATGGCGGCTGAATCGGAATTTGATGAAGAAGAGGAGCCTCCGTTCAGCGATCCGGAGGATTTTGTGGATGACATCGATGATGAAGGTAGAGGCTGCAGTGAAATCCGCTATTTGCGCGGCCTCTACGCAAGACAGTCACCATGCACATCACAACTAAAACTGCTATAAGGTTAACTTACCTCAAATTCAAGGCAATGCATTTTTTTTTCCTGAGCAATAATATTATGACATCTTTCATTACAGTTTATTTCTATGCGCATAGAAGGACTATTCTGCTAATTTGACAGCAAGCAGACAAACGTGTCATATGCATTCTGTCATATTTTGCACATTTGTCATATTTTATATAATTATTCAGTTCCGTTTTTGCTAGTGTCGTGCCTTGCAAATATTTTCCGTGGTAACAATTTCCGCCAGGATACCAGGTACAGTTATAAAACTAATAAAACTATAACTTTGCAACTTTGTACACTATTTTCATTAAATTAAAATATTGCATTTGAAATTGATGAAAGGATTTGTATTAATTTGTATATTAAGGCAAATCACATGTTCATTTGATAATTTTATTAATATGATACTAATGAAAACACAAATTTAGAAAAATGTTTCACTTAAAATGTTCTTCATATGGAAACTTTTAAATGAACTGGGTATATTAAGTTACAAATATTTAAAATGACTGAATCCACTTCATTAGGGTACATTAAAAGGCTAGATCAGGTAAAAAAAAAAAAAATTCTGTACTGTACTTGTAGGATCTATTTAAAACTTCACATTTTAATTTTTAGAGCAGGTATTAAATGTAATAATGCACATGTACAGTAACAGTTTTCCAGCAGCCCAGTTTCTAAGTTGTGAGTGAGAAGTTTGTGTGGTTTTATGCAGAGTTGTTGGAGGATGTTTTGAGGGAGAGACCTTTGGAGGCTGATGGGATTGATTCGGTGGTCTTGGTGGACAACGTTCCTCAGGTGGGCCCTGAACGTCTGGAGAAACTGAAAAATGTGATCCATAAAATCTTCTCCAAGTTTGGAAAAATCACTAATGAATTTTACCCTGAAGCGGCTGGGACGACAAAAGGGTAAGTTACTGACTTTAATTTTATCAGATCAAAACTATCAAATCTGATTGTGATGATTCTGATATTTTTACAGACCACGATTTAGTGATAAATGCAAAATGTTCTCAGGTATATCTTTCTGGAGTATGCGTCCCCTAACCATGCTCTGGAAGCTGTTAAGAATGCAGATGGTTACAAGCTGGACAAACAGCACACATTCAGAGTCAATCTGTTCACCGATTTTGACAAGTATGTTTTTAGTGGGGTTCATATGTTTGGAAGCAGAACATAACTTGTTATGACTGGTTTATGACTGTTTTATTGCGATCTGCAAAAAAATAAACTTTGAAAAAAAAATAAAACCTTTTTTTACTCTACAAATATTGAGGTTCAGTAGTGATTCAAAACTTATGGATCATTTATCTTTTTGTTTCAGGTACATGAATATCAGTGACCAGTGGGAAACCCCCGAAAAACAGCCATTTAAAGACTTTGTATGTAGTTCTGCTCCTGTTATTAGGGAAAAAAAAATATATATATATATATGTTAAAGATTTATTTGTGCCTGCATTGTCTGTATACATAAAAGATTGGTATTGTAAAACACTAGGAATAAGATGTTTCAAGATTATTGGAATATGGGTGTGTGAGTTTGGCTTTTTCAGTTTTTTCTGTTTTTAGCCAATGACAATGGCATTACATCATTTTCTGTCACTTTTTACTAGGGCAATATGAGGCACTGGCTTGAGGATCCAGACTGTCGTGATCAATACAGTGTAATCTATGAATCGGGAGAGCGAACTACCATATTTTCCAGTGACCCGAAGGAGCCGATCCTGGTTGAAGAGAGAGCTGTGAGCACATTTCCTTTCAAACAGGCTTCAGGGTTATTTTAGTATTATTTATTTACTATTTAATAATTAATACAATATATAACAGATTTGCTTTAGTGTTAATTTAGATTTGCTTCAGTATTTAGTCTTTTATTTTAATATTATTTATATGCAATTATAGTATTAATATTTTGAATTGGAATATTTTCAGTTTTCATTTTTCATTTTAGTTTGTTTTAATAATAATGTTTCAGTTTAGTTTTTTTAAGTTTAACAAGTTTTTTTATGTAATATTTATTTTATTTCAGTTTAAGTTAACAAAACCTTTTTTTTTATAGTCTTAGTTAACAATAACAAAACGTTTTCTTGAAAGAATAAAGATTTGCTATCTGCTCCAGAGATCTAGATGTCTATTGGTGGAATAGTTATGTTCAATTGCTCATCCACAGTCTTTCATTTACAGCAATAAATACAGGCCTACTGATTAATAGTGTGTTTGATTTTTTGGTGTCTTGTAGACACCTTGTCATGTTATTGTACCTTGCAAATAAATGCGATATAATCCTTACATTACTAACTCAGAGTTGTATCTTTCTCCAGCGCTGGACAGAGACTTACGTCCGCTGGTCACCCAAAGGGACATACCTGGCCACCTTTCACCAACGAGGAATTGCATTGTGGGGTGGAGAGAAGTTCAAGCAGATACAGAGATTCAGCCACCAGGGTGTCTCTCTCATTGACTTCTCCCCATGCGAGAGGTAAACACCTGAGAAAGAGAGCGAGAGCAGCTATTACAGAGTTACTCATGTGAATAACACATTCAAAATGTGTTCAGGTATGTGGTGACGTTCAGCCCACTGATGGATACTAAAGAGGACCCTCAAGCCATCATCATCTGGGACATCCTGACCGGACAGAAAAAACGTGGCTTCCATTGTGAGAGTTCGGCACACTGGCCTATTTTTAAGTGAGTGTTTTAATTACCCTTTGTTTGTCTATGTTCATGAACCTTTCATTAAGATAATAAGAAGTTCTGAATTGTTTCTCTCACAGGTGGAGTCAAGATGGAAAGTTCTTTGCCAGAATGACACAAGACACTCTGAGCATCTATGAAACCCCGGTAAGATAAAGCATTATCTTCAATATGCAGGTCTTGTATTTACTCTTTTTTTAATGATGCTTTTGTTAATTTCTTCCAGTCAATGGGTCTGCTAGATAAGAAGAGTTTGAAAATAAGTGGAATAAAGTAAGTCTTACCAAATGTATGCAGTATTGTAGAAAGTTATTAAAGGCACATAATTCATCCTAGTGTTATTTTAGTGTCATGGAGATAATATTATAATTTTTTTTTATTATTTTGAATTAGTTTTTATTTTACATTTTCTGTTTTTCGTTTTATTTCAATTTTAGTATATTTATGTTTTTCCATTTTTATTATTATTTGTTTTAATTAAATGTTTCTTTATAATTTTTATATATTTATTTTTATTTCAATTTTAGTTATTTTAGTACTTCAAGGTAAACTAAATGAAAATGAGAAATGATGCTTTGGAATAAAATAAAATTACATACATTTATAGTTTTATATTTAAGTTAAAGTTTATTTTATTTCAACTAACAAAAATGTTTTTTTAATGGTTTTAGGTTCAGTTTTAGGTGACTATAATAACCCTGATTAAAAAAAAACATTTATTAATTCCTTTAAGATAACTATAAGAGTGATCTAGCTTTAAGTTTTATCAGGAAGCCAGATTTTTGTAAAATGCAACCCTAAAAATGTTTTCCTGTCCAATAGAGATTTTTCTTGGTCACCGGGAGACAACATTATTGCCTTTTGGGTCCCGGAAGACAAGGACATTCCAGCCAGGGTAACGCTCATGCAGTTCCCATCCCGTTTAGAGATTCGGGTGCGAAATCTTTTCAACGTGGTGGACTGCAAGCTTCATTGGCAAAGACAGGGTGACTACTTGTGTGTGAAGGTGGACCGAACACCCAGAGGAACACAGGTGTGTGTGTGTTTGTAGAAAGTTCTCTAATAATTTCAAAGGTCTTCAAATTTCCCCAATTTATTTTCTGCTCTTCAATAGGGTGTTGTCACAAATTTTGAGATTTTCCGCATGAGAGAAAAACAGGTTCCTGTTGATGTGGTAGAGATGAAAGGTAACCAAGACCTTAAATTCTCTTAAAGGCCATAAAGAGCATTTAATAGTATATTGAACTAAATGGAACATCTGATCTTTATTAGAGAGCATCATTGCATTTGCCTGGGAGCCCAATGGCAGTAAGTTTGCGGTACTACATGGAGAATCACCCAGAATAAATGCCTCATTTTACCACGTCAAAAGCAATGGCAAGATTGATCTCATCAGTAAGTGCCAATCATGTTTTTTAAAGATGTAAATCTAGATTAGTACATTTAATACTATGTAAATTTATGCTACTAATATTATCCTGTTGAATTTTGTATTTGTGGTTTTCCAGAGATGTTTGATAAGCAGCAGGCCAACAGTATCTTTTGGAGTCCTCAAGGTCAGTTCCTGGTACTGGCAGGACTGCGCAGGTTAGTTTATATATTATATTATATTTAAATTGCAAATAGCGTTCAACAGTTTGGGGTTTGTAATATTTGTTTTTGTTTTTGATAGAAGTCTTATGCTTACCAAGGCTATGTATTTTACCAAAAAAAAACAGTAAAACAGCAATATTGTGAATTATTATAGTTTAAAATAACTATTTTCTATTTTAATGTTTTAAAATGTAATTTTTTCCTGCGATGGCAAAGATGAATTTTCAGTCTTCAGTGTCACGTGATCCAGAAATCATTCTAATATGTTGATTTGGTGCACAAAATTCCTTATTATCATTGTTGAAAACAGTTTTTTTTTTTTTTTATGGAAATCATGATAATTTTTTTCCGGGATTTTTTGATGACTAGAATGTTTAAAATAAAGGCATTTATTCGAAATAGAAATGTCTGGTAAATGTCAGATGTTTTTCTTACATCTTAATTGCTTGGCTCATACAGATGATATTTTTCTTTTTTTCTGTGCAGTATGAATGGTGCTCTTGCATTTGTGGACACGTCAGATTGTACCATTATGTATATCGCAGAGCATTACATGGCCTCTGATGTGGAATGGGACCCTACCGGCAGATATGTGGTGACTTCTGTTTCCTGGTGGAGCCACAAGGTCATTTGACATGTTCACTTCCTTAAGTTACTATACGTTTATCCTCATAATGTTTTTTTTTTTTTTTTTTTTACTTGCATAAATTTACTTACTGTGCATACAGGTGGACAATGCATACTGGCTTTGGACATTCCAGGGACGTCTTCTGCAAAAGAACAACAAAGACAGATTCTGCCAGTTGCTATGGAGACCACGCCCTCCTACTTTACTAGGTCAAGAGCAAATAAAGGTGACAGGCTTTTCTACTGTTTACATTTGTAACATCTACACAATTTTCCAGAAAATTTCCTTCGGGGGAAGTCGTGGCCTAGTGGTTAGAGAGTTGGACTTGTAACCAAAGGTTGTGGGTTCGAGTCTCGTACCGGCAGGGATTGTAGGTGGGGGGAGTGAATGTACAATAAATATAAACAGCATACTATTATGTAAACAAAAACTATATATATATATATATATATATATATATATATATGAATGCATACATATATGTACATTCATATTATAATTTTTTTATTTATTTAATATTACAATGCTTCCACAATGCTTTTGATGCAGGAGTTAGTGGATAAACGTCGTTTGATGATGGAAGAATACAGCCGGAACAAAGAAAGTGCCATTCAGCTTTACAACCAACAGAGGGAGCTGCGCCTTCAGCTCAGAGGAGGTGAGAAACACTGTCCTTTCTTACATTTTTTCCCCCTTTATTCGGACTCTCTCTATAGTCCTCATTCTCTGCCGACATACTTTTCCATCTGTTATAAGTTCATTGAGTTGCACTGAATTATCATCTCTCAGGTGTGGACACAGATGAACTGGACAGTAATGTGGAGGACTGGGAAGAGGAAACCATCGAGTTCTTTATCAGTGAAGAGATCATTCCTCTCGGAGATCTAGAATAGACCTACACAGAAAGCACTACTGTTTCCAGCTGTGAGACAAAATTATCACCCCCAGAGAGTACCACCAGTCCTTTACAAGTGCTTTGTATGACAGATACACCGAGTATGTTTATATGCGCAGTTATAATCAAGCTGGTTTTTGCACAGTTGAGCAAAAAGTTCACACACGTACATAATCAAATATTTAAAGGAAGAAATATTTTGCAAAAACCGGACTGGTATGATTCTAGTCGGATTAAATGACTTACATGACATTTTAAACAGACAAATTATTGTTTAAATCTGACTAAAATCAAACTTTTAAAGTGCAAGTAAACACGATTACTGATTCACACTCAGTATATTCCTGCTGAGAAGGGAAGTTGTTTGATTCTAATATGAGTTTAAGTAAGAGCTCATATTCTTCATAATCCCCCTTCATACAATTTTCTTGTGGATTCACTGAAAGAAGTAAAAGGCAGTGATTTATCATTTGCTATTCTTACTGACAGAGCAAGATACTTCTCAATAACCAGTGGTACTGTTTTGTGGGTTATCATTTCTCCAAAGAAAACATGTCTGATACAAGAGAGGAATTTCTTTTGGCTTTCTGTGGTCTGGTCTTTCATATAAGAACATTTTGTTTACTAGGGAAATCTTTTCATAATGCAATTTTTTTCCCACCATCATTCCAATGGAAATACTTATAGACATCATGGAATTCTCACTCGTGACTTGGCATGTGCTGCAGACAGTATCAGGAGGAATAATGTCAAATCCAAGCTGCACTTGTACAGGATAATTCTAAAATTATAATGGAATTTTAACACAGTAAAAGCATTACAACATTTGATAGGCAAGTATAATTTATGAATTTAGAAACGATGTCTTCACAAGCATCATAAAAAAAAATTATATAAAAATTTTCTTTGTATTTTATTTAATTTACTTCGTTTTATTTTACTTGAATTTCCCACAAACTGAAATTGTTTTAAAGCCTCCATACAAACATACAAGATTGTGTGTTTACTCCTATAGTAAATGTAAGTGACTTGACGTTTCTCCTGTGGTTTAATTTTGTTAAAACACTATCCCCCGGTTTCACAGACAAGGCTTAAACCTAGTCCTAGACTAAAATGTAAATCTGAGCTGTTTCAACTGAAAGAAACTTGCACTGACTGATCTTAAAACATGTCAGTGCCTTTGTTTTGTCTTAAGATGCACACCAGTAATGCTTTTTTCTAAGGGATGTTTATAAAAATTACTTAAATGTCCTAATTGAACAATGGCCTAATCCTGGTTTAGGCCAAGCCCTGTCTATGAAACCAGGCCTATATATTTTTTTATTAATTAATAAATTTTTTAAACGTTGTGTTTATTTTGTGCAAAAACAGTGAGGTTATGTCAGTCCCACCTCTACGCCCCAAACACCAAACCAATACTACATTATGTACTATTCCCATTGTATTATATTCTAATAGTTGACAAAGTAGTTGGTTTTACAGCGGCGCGGCCATTTGTAATTTGACATTTGAATGTGCGAATCTTCCAGTGACATCGTTTCGCTATTTTTCCTGTACATAAACAGTCCTGATATTTTATTATCATATTATTTTATTTTATTATCATAATCATAAATACACTGGTTTGTACTGCAAATAGTTTTACAGTTTACTGCACTTTATGAATAGGAAGTCGCAGATTCTGAGCAAATAGCTTCCGCATTGCAAAATAAAGCAAGATCGTGATGACAGTGATTAAAACCATAGATATGCATATCTATGTTAAAAACTGCTAATGATATAATTTGGGGGGGGGAGAATACAAAAAGCTTTTTGAAATGCCGATCCCATTGTATTATATTCTAATAGTTGACAAAGTAGTTGGTTTTACAGCGGCGCGGCCATTTGTAATTTGACATTTGAATGTGCGAATCTTCCGGTGACATCGTTTCGCTATTTTTCCTGTACATAAACAGTCCTGATATTTTATTATCATATTATTTTATTTTATTATCATAATCATAAATACACTGGTTTGTACTGCAAATAGTTTTACAGTTTACTGCACTTTATGAATAGGAAGTCGCAGATTCAGAGCAAATATAGCTTCCGCATTGCAAAATAAAGCAAGATCGTGATGACAGTGATTAAAACCATAGATATGCATATCTATGTTAAAAACTGCTAATTATATAATTTGGGGGGGAGAATACAAAAAGCTTTTTGAAATGCCGATAAATAACACTAAACATGTAAATATAGATCAGTGGTATGAGTTTTGGGAAGCCCCGCAATAGGTAAACGCTTAAAAGCCCCAGAATAAAATACAATAAACCAAGAGAGCACATGCGAGCAATTAGACACAAATATATTAGTTAGGCTGACTAATTTTGGCGCAAAATCTTGTCTTGTATCCGAACAAGTGTGTACATCTCTCCATGGCAACAGTAACCAACGTTAAATCAAAGTAAATATGAGGATGACTATGGTTTGGACTGACAAAAATGTTCTTTTAGCTTCTCCTGAGAGGATGGGTTGACCCAGTCCCTGCATGGGTTGTCTGACACCTCTAGGGGTTTTATCACCGTTAACAACAGTCCGCTGGTGACTTGAGGACCTCCGCAGGGGCCAGCACACAGTCCTGCCTCAGAATGAGATTACCAGCCATCAAGAAGATTAACTCACGTTAAATCACTAGTATATTCTAGCGTGGCTCTAGCTGAGGCGTATTTTGATCTTGTCCGATAAAACAGGCTGTGATACAGCACGGTTGAAGTAACTTGGGAATAAAAAGATGAAGGATTTGCCAGGAGAGTGGGAGGACCATCAGCTCACGGTAGGCTGTCGAATTTTATTTAATGCACCACAGTTCATTCAACAGTAACGTTGACCACCTGTCAGCTGAACGCGAAGATTATTTGGCCTGTATATTTTCATGCATGGAAATGTACAGACTTCTAGAGATGCATGATAATGTGGCTCCTTTGGGACAGGAGAGGGTAAACAAATGAACAGAACGTTTCTATTGAAACAAGTGGTAGCACTCTAATAACATCCATTAATAAGTCACTACATCAGTCTTTGCTGGCATACACATTAAAGTCATGGCTACAAAAATATATAAAAATACCTTTTGTGGCAGGGCAAGTTGTCACATTAAATTGTTAAGTTGTCTAAAGGGAACCTAGTGTTTATTGACAAATTTAAGAGGGGAAAAACAATTATAAAATACAATTATATACAATTGCAAAATAATTCAACATTGATACTACAGTAATAAGAGAACCAAATCAGCAGATTCGAATTAAAAGGACTGAAGACCAAGTAATGGCTGCTGAAAATTCAGCTTTGTCATCAGGAATAACATTTCTGTTTGAATATATTTTAACATGTAAAGTTATTCACAATATTACTGATTACCTTTTCATCAAATAAATGCAGTCTTGGTAACTTCTTTCAAAAACGTTAAAAACATAAATCTTACCAACTTACCAAATACTTAATGGTGTAATGTGCAAAAATATTATTTGGCTATCAGAGATTGTAATGGGTTATAATATTTAAAAACATATAAACCACATGTGACAACTTGCCCTGACCTGACATACCCTTGTCTTGAGAACACAGTTCAACTTTCAGTTAATACTGATGTTTATTAAAAAGTTGACACTTTGCTAATTGATATTAGTGCAGTGTCAAAACTATAGTTACTGAGATAACACTTGTGAATTTGTCCATATGTGACAGCTAGCCCCAGTCTCCTATGGTTAACAGATCAGTTGTTCTTAGATATTCTAATTATCACATTAATCAAAATTTCATTGCATTTTAATAATATGAATGCACTTTGTTAATGTTCTATGCACCTAATCGGGAGAAGGGAGAAGTTATGTTTTTTTTAAATAAATGATGTACATTGATTCAAGGTTGCTCTGCGCATCCGACCACTGAACGATGCAGAGATCGAGGAGGGTGCAACCACAGTGGCGCACAAGATTGACAGACAGGTGGGGGAAAAAAACAACAAACACAAAAGACCACTGATACACATGTCCAGCATTACTTTAATACATACTTATTTTCTGAAATGAATATCAATTGTTTACCTTTAGTGACTTTTGACTTGAAACCTAGTTAGGAACATGTAGCCTTGTGACAACTAGCCCCAGTCTCCCCTGTATATTTTTGTAAATATTACAGGTTTTGGAAACATGTGCATGACATTCACAACTCCTGATTCTGTTGCAGAGCCTGTCATGATGAATGATGGTCTAAAGACTTAATCCTCGCTTTCATCTTCAGTAAATCCTGTTTACAGTCAGTAAATAAGGTTTACTGTCTTCTTTGCTTATGCTTGATGTCTCAGGATTCAAAGAATCATGCTGCAGACATTTCTTTGTATGCATAATCATAAGTGAATATTCTGATCATATTTTTCCAAGCACATTTTTCCAATTCCAAACCACATCAATCGTAATAATAATTAATGACCGTAATGATTTATAAGATATCAATTCCTAATGAGGGAGAGTGTAGCTTACAAAGTTACAAATACCCTATTTTCAGATGCAATATAATCATTAGGCATATTTTGGCAAAGTAGAACAGGCAAAAAAAAAAAAAGAGTCATGATACTTAAAAATTATGAAAGAATGCGTCATTCTGAGGTTTGCCAAAAAGGAAAGGTGCAAATTAAGTGCAAAAGACTTGGGGGAAAAGTAGGTGTCTGCAGAAATAGGTGTCAGTTTCTCAGAGAATTTGCTAAGAGAAGGAAGGCTGAAACCTTGCCATGTACACTACCATTCAAATGTTTTGGGTCAGTGATTTTTATTTTGAAAACAATTTATACTTTTATTCAGCAAGAACACATTAAATTGATCAAAAGTGACAGTAAAGCCTTTTACATTTTTACAAAAAAATATATATTTTAAATAAATTACTGTTTATACTGAACTTTGATCAAATAAATGCTGTCTTGGTGAGTGTATGAGTGATTAACAAAACAACTTTCGAACAGTAGTGGACAGTAAGTGACAGAGTGTGGGTCTCAACATATTGCATAATATGTAGTCATTTATTTTGCAGTTAAGTTCATGTTTAAACATTGCAGAATTGATCTAATATTTTGAGTTAATTCTCATGTTTAATTACTGTCTTCAGATGGTGGTGTTGATGGACCCCTGTGAGGACTCTGACAATTTCCTGAGGTCCAACCGCTCACGTGAAAAAACATACATGTTTGATGTGGTATTCGACTATACTGCCACCCAGGTCAGTAGTAGTGCTGCTCTTCCACACAAAATTATTTTTTTGTATTTTTATAGGTCATGGGATACTTGATCATTGTCCTTCATGTTCACTGAGAATTTTAGGTGCAGTTTCTTGAAAGAGAGTCATCAGTCTTAAGATTATTTTTGGTGTTAACTGTCATTTAAGGTTTTGAAAGTTTCAGCATGACCACAGTTCCAGACCTCCATGTTATTTACTTTTTCTTTATTTCAGGAGGATGTTTATGTGGCAACAACAAAAAGTCTTATTGATGGTGTGATTGCTGGTTATAATGCCACAGTCTTTGCATATGGACCCACGGGTAATGTTGATGTGAAGTTTTCTGTTTAGTGTTTGGATAGAAATTCACATGCTGTTCATTCCGATTATCCTAAATGAAAATTCTTCTAAAACAAAAAAATGTTGAACCTAATGGGGATTAAAAAAAAATGAAAATGCTCATTTTAAATTTATCACTGACACTTCGCCTTACCATTGATTGGGTCTGCAAATTACCGCTTATGACCTCAGATCAGACAAGACGACCCTCTAAAATTAAGCATTTAATTAGGTAGAGAAAGTAAACTAACCAATATATCTGTGTTCACATTTTCTGCTTCATTTCTTCATTTAATTTTTTAGGAGCTGGAAAGACATACACTATGTTAGGATTAGATTCTGAGCCTGGCATTTACATCCGAACACTCAATGATCTCTTCAGGGCCATTGAAGACAGCACTGAGGACTTGGATTGCAGTGTTTATATGTCATATATAGAGGTCAGTCTTATTGTTAGATACTGTATTAAAAAATATTACATCAA